CATAAGTGTGGGTAGACATGGAACCTATGACCCAACAATCACCTCTTAATTTGTATGATGCAGTGAGCTTGAACATACAATCAGGGTGGACACACTTGATCTTGTACCTTTCTGGGTTTACACGGTCCACCTTAAAATCGACCGAGTTAAGCATGTGGAATTTTTTAATGGCTCTGATACATTCTTCTCTGTTACGAAACTTTTCTTTCTGTTTTAAGTTTTCATCCGACTGCATATACGGATTGAAAAATAAATCAGAAGACGGTTCATCTCCGCCCATGTTGAAGTTTTTCATGTGCGGAGGTGGTGTGTAGATCTCGTTTGCAGGAATACCAGGTATCCCATCGTCTTCGGAATCATCATTGACCATTTCGTCAAACTCTAACTCGTCATCTTCTTCTTCTTCTTCATCAACTACATCTACCTCTGATTGTTCGGTCTCCAAAGGATCAACCACTTGTGTCACCTGAGGCTCTCGCAGCATAATGTACAACTCAATAGAGTCGTACCCAGAATACTCATGACTGGAAAACATATTCTGAAGATCATCGTCATCTTGAACCTCAACCTTATAAAATATTATTTGGTTGTTACCAAAAAAAACTGGATTCTGATAAAATATTTGTGTCACCGGGCCTCGTCCAAGTTTGGCCTCCAATCGTTATTTGAAGTACAATAAATTGGCTTTCCTGTTTAAACAAAATTAGATGTTGTATGTGTCTCTAAACAAAAATCCAGAGGTGGGACAAATGTATGTCTCACTGTTGAAATGTGCACTGATGACATATTGGGGTGCAGAGGCCATTGCGTATGATTGTTTGAAGGTTTGAAGGTTGGAAGGTTTGAAGTTTATGAGTTATTTGAAGGTTTGAAGGTTTGATTGTTTGAAGGTTTGAAGGTTTGATTGTTTGAAGGTTTGAAGGTTTAAAGGTTTGAAGGTTTGAAGATTTGAAGGTTGGAAGGTTTGAGAGATTAAGTGAATTAGTATTTTGATAAATGTAAGACTAAATAGGTCATACTGAATTTAAATTAACTAAGGTTGTAACCTCTAAGGCTCCTCCCATCACGTCCAATAGTGTTACCTAGGCTGTCACCTAGCATGCGCCTACTCTGCAACCCATGCCACCTTTTATTCGTCAATGGGGATGGCGACACCTTTCATTTTTGTACTCTTTCGCCAAGTCCAATGGCGCCTCCCTTCATGTCCAATTGTGTTACATGCAAGCAGAGATGCCTTCTCCAAGGCTGCCACCTAGCCTGCCCTACTCTGCACCTACACTGTAACCTCTAAGGCTCTTCCCGTCACGTCCAATAATGTTACATGCATTCAGGGATGCCTTCTCCAAGGCTATCACCTAGACTGCGCCTACTCTGCAACCCATGCCACCTCTTATTCGTCAATGGGGATGGCGACACCTTTCATTTTTGTACTCTTTCGCCAAGTCCAATGGCGCCTCCCTTCATGTCCAATCGTGTTACATGCATGCAGAGATGCCTTCTCCAAGGCTGCCACCTAGCTCGCGCCTACTCTGCACCTACACTGTAACCTCTAAGGCTCCTCCCATCACGTCCAATAGTGTTACATGCATTCAGGGATGCCTTCTCCAAGGCTATCACCTAGCCTGCGCCTACTCTGCAACCCATGCCACCTCTTATTCGCCAATGGGGATGACGACACCTTTCATTTTTGTACTCTTTCGCCAAGTCCAATGGCACCTCCCTTCATGTCCAATCGTGTTACATGCATGCAGAGATGCCTTCTCCAAGGCTGCCACCTAGCATGCGCCTACTCTGCACCTACACTGTAACCTCTAAGGCTCCTCCCATCACGTCCAATAGTGTTACATGCATTCAGGGATGCCTTCTCCAAGGCTGCCACCTAGCCTACGCCTACTCTGCAACCCATGCCACCTCTTATTCTCCAATGGGGATGGCGACACCTTTCATTTTTGTACTCTTTCGCCAAGTCCAATGGCGCCTCCCTTCATGTCTAATCGTGTTACATGCATGCAGAGATGCCTTCTCCAAGGGTTCCACCTAGCATGCGCCTACACTGCAAGAGTGACACTTATCATGCATGCATGCACCAGCTACCACTTCACTTACTCTATAAATACAGAGCATAACATACTTCTCTTGCATCCACAATCGTCTCACTCTCTGCTACAAACTCTTTCATAATCCCTTACAATTTCAAACTCTTTCATAATCTCAGGCATTTTCAACAATGGCTCTTCTTACAATGGGCGATTCTCACAGAGGCACAAGGGACAACATTGCAGCATTTGTAAGTTTCTTTTATAGTTATACATTTTTCATACTTCTGGTAATGCTTTGTTCATCTTACTTACTCTTACACCTTTTACATTTTTAACTCAGGATACCAAAAGATTTAGAATCTGGTCTCATAACTACCTTGCTCCCGACCCATTGATCGTACCATATCTGGAATACACATGTTTCAGACACGTTATAAAGATCTCCAATTGCACAATTGATTCAAAGTTCATACTTGCAATATTGGAAAGGTGGAGACCAGAGACCCATACATTTCACCTACCAATAGGTGAATGTACCGTCACGCTAGAGGACGTGTACATGTTACTGGGTCTCCCTGTCAATGGTAAGGCCGTTAACAGGTCGGTTCAACAACCCAATTCTTTGTGTGAAGAATTGTTGGGCAGGGATATGGTTGAAGGTGGTGGTGCGAGAAGTCAGGGTATAATACTAACTGAGCTTAAAAATCATTATGCGACTTTGGAATTAAACGAAAATTCCTCAGAGCTAGCCAAGGTAATAAAATCTAGAACTTATATAATGATACTATTTGAAACCTTTTTATTTCCCGAAAGTACGAGAAATAGTGTAAATTTTATGTATTTAAATTTACTTAGAGACTTCGAAAAAACTAGAAAGTATAGTTGGGGTTCTGCTGTTTTAGCCCACCTATATAGTTACTTGTGTAAAAATGCAATCAAGGAAAAATGTACATTTTATGGCTGCGCTTTTTTACTTCAAGCCTGGGGTTGGTGGAGGATGGAGTCCCTAAACCCCGTCAAAAACAACACATTCGTTTTCCCGTACGCAACAAAGTAAGTCATCAAGTTATATCATTTATTACTATTCATCTCTTCACCAAATATATGATAAAAATAAAATATTTTTCATTTCCTTTAGGTATTGTGTGAGGGGTATGAATTACGGCAAGAATCCAAGATTCAATGTCGCACTATACCGTAATCTATTGGATCACCTTGGCCCGGATGATGTACGTCGTACCTTTCAACTTTTCTACTTCTAAAATAATTTATATATTACGTTTTCATTAACCTGATTTAATTTTATGTGCAGTTTGTCTGGAGACCATATTTAGGTTTGGGCCATGAACCAAACCCCGAGGATGCAGCAATTTGGAGCGCCAAGACTGCAATCATACAGTTCAATGTTGTGGAGATGCACCACAGCGACCGTGTAAAGATGCAGTTTGGAATACATTAAGAGATACCCAGTGATCTGACTTGTTTGTCCCCGTGGCATCTCAAAAGGGTCGACGCCCAATGGAGTCTTACCAACTGGAAAGACTTTGCTCTAGAATGGTGTAAGATGTGGCAGAGGCGTCACCGACATGTCTTATAATTCCCAGTTTTCCTCAATCATGGTAATATGCGACACACAGATCAATATTTATCTTGGTATAGATCGGTTAGTAACCCTGAAATGCACGTGTCTCATCCAAGGTATTTGGTTGACCCACGAACACAATGGGCACAACCCTCATTTACCCAACAACAAACCCAACACACATCAACCTCCCACCAACCCCCCAGACGAAACAAAACCACAAACACACAACCACAGTCGCCACCACAATACAATTACACCCACATGCCCCACAACCAACCACAATCACCACCTCAGTACCGATACCCCCATATACCTCACACCCAACCGCAATTTCAATCACAATACCAACACACCCGCATACCCCACACACAATTTCAGTCTTCTGCATATCCCAATATGGGCCCCTCAACATCCAACCTTAGCCCTGATCTGGGAATGTCGGAAGATTATGAACCAACCGACCCAACTTACCATCAACCACAATATCACCAAACCACCCAACATCCTCAATACCAAACACCCCAAGATCCATTTTCTTTCTACCCCCGTACTCAGACGACCAATGCTACAGACCAACCATGGAACCCCACCCACTGCCAACACGACCAAACTTTGAGGGTATGGGTAACCGACTGTACCAAAGCGGATCTTCTAGATATGGAGATCTGACTGATTTCATGGATCCGGAACGCATTAACTTCGCCGAGCCATCGACCCTGCCACGGCAGGAAACGCGACGAAACCCAGCACGGGAAAGGCGATGACGGGGATGCGGAACCGGGGTCATTATCGGGTTCTGGGGGACCACTGATTAATCTGTTTTTTTTATGTAATACTTATGTGTGTAATCATATTTTGTAAATAAAAAGTCAATTTTGTTGATCCTATATCGAATACGTAACGTACCGCATTAAAAAAATGCGAAAATTGCCCTAGCAAATGCACTAAGACGTCATCTCACTTGGCTTAAGGCTTTCCCTAAGCACCTAGGCGCCAAGTGAAATGGCGCCTCCCGTTAAAATGTAGGTGTAGGCGCCAAGTGAGATGGCTCCTCCTTTGAGGAGTCATTTGAAACATGGTTATTTGCAAAAAAAAATTTTAATACATAGTTATTCCAAAAAAAATTCTTATTTAGAATCATGAAATTATATATGGGTAAATTCATTCATGTAATAAATTACATTTATTTATCGGATAAAGTTCGGTTGTTTTGGATATTGTAATTATATTGTTATTGATGCTATATATATATATATATATATATATATATATATATATATATATATATATATATATATATATATATATATCATGGATGCGGCTTTATTTTTTATAGCAACTTTTGTGTAATAGAACATACACACGCCACAAGTATAATGGACCAATTCCTTGAAGAGATTGAAGAGCCAGTGAGTCCTCATGGACAATACTTTAACAGCTCTGTGATCTGTTCATATATCTTTGGCTTTCTGGAATTAGCCATTCCATTTGATGTCTCACTAGCTATACCTTTGATCAAAGATGTTTTCATCCCTATCAATCCACGTTTCTCCTCTATTATGGATCTATATCTCTTTCATACTTTATTAATTTCTGCCAATACTCACAATTTACATACCAAATTTCAATTATTATTCTATTTGCAACAGGTAAGACACGAAGATGGTAAGATGATATGGAAAAAGGTTGAAGTGAAGCCTGAAGAGCATGTAAAGATTCCTAAATTTCCTGAAACAAAAAACTCATCACCAATTGAATTATATGACAGTCATCTTAGTGACCACGTAGCAAGTATTCTAACTGAAAGAACACTGGAAGACAAACCACTTTAGGAAATACATATTATAAATTATCCATCAACAAATCTCACTAAATTTTTTAATGTTAAATATAATAGTCGTTCACGTGAGATTTTATATTTTTTATTATTAAAAAATAATTATAATGTATTTATCACATCGCAGCTTTTAAATTAAAAATAAATAAATAAAAAATGTTGACGTTCTGAAGGAGAGAAATTTAAAATTTTTATAAAATTGATTGCGACGTGGAAATCATGTCGCAAATATTAAGAGAGAAAATGTCATGACTTTGAACTAATGGAGTACAGGGTGATTAATGATGGTTTCTGTCTGTTGGATGTTGCGACGTGATAATCATGTCACTTATTGGCTAAAAAATTATTTGACCGTTGTGGATCGCGACGTGAGTATCACGTGAAAAATTTGTGACGTGATATTCACGTCGCTAATGTTTTTATATACTTTACACAATTCATTCTCCACGGACATCCATCTCATAATTTTTTCATTATTTCTAACGGTTCTTCGCTCTTCTCCTACTCCCTACTAATCTTCCAATTACAATTCCAATTTTCAATTTATTACTCAAGTATTAGGTATAATTTCTAGTTCTTTCATATTTTTCAATTTAATTTAATAATTGCATTTAATCTTTATATTTACTCTGATTTAATTAAAATTTTTTTTCAAAGATTAAGCAATATTGAAGGGATTCATTAGTAATAGATTGAGCAATATTGATAAAGATTGAAGGAGATTGAAGAAAAGGTATTTTAGTTGTTTAATTTTTTTTTCTGAACTTTTTATTAGGTTATTATATTTTAGTTGTGATAGTAATATTTTACTTTTTTTTAATTATTATATATATTTTTAAAATAAATATATAATATATATTTTGATGAAACAGAACAAAAAAAACGAATTATTATTATTTTTTTAAAACAGAAAATATATAATGTCTTTTTAAAAAAAAAATTTTATATATATATATATATATATATATATATATATATATATATATATATATATATATATATATATATATATATATATATATATATATATATATATATATATATATATATATATATATATATATATATATATATATATATATATATATATATATATATATATATATATATATATATATATATATATATATATATATATATATATATATATATATATATATATATATATATATATATATATATATATATATATATATATATATATATATATATATATATATATATATATATATATATATATATATATATATATATATATATATATATATATATATATATATATATATATATATATATATATATATATATATATATATATATATATATATATATATATATATATATATATATATATATATATATATATATATATATATATATTAAAATAGAATAATAAAATGAAACATATGTTATATATATTTTTTATAAATTAATTAATTAATTTTTTAAACAAAATATTATTTAAACAGAATATATTATATATTTTATGTTTTATAAATTATATATAAAAATAAAATATCTTATATATGTATTGTAAATTATAGAATATATTATATATGTATATTTGAGATAAAATAAAACAGAATATATTAATATTAAATATTTAGTAAAATATTTTTTGTCTACTAAAATACTATGTTATATAAAACCAAATAGATTATATATTTTTTTAAAAAGAAAAATAAAACAGTGTGAAATAGTAATAAAATAGTAAGAAAAATATATGATAAAAATTATAAAAAAATTAGTAATAAAAATTATAATATATGATTATGATTATAAAATATAATTATAAAAGATAGAATATTTTGTTATAATAATTATAACATTATATTGTTATAAAATAAATATAGTTATAAAAATTAAAAACAAAACAGTGTGAAATAGTATTTTTTAAACATCACATTTAAAATCACAGAATATATGATAACTATATGTTATGTATTATGTTATATATATATATTATGTTATAAAAGTCATTAATTATTATATATTTATTAAATGTTTAGTTAAAAAAACAAAAAATTTATGATTAATATATTTAATATATTTATAAAAAATGTTTAGTTAAAATAAAAACAAAATTTTTATGCTTAATATATTTATAATTAAAATATTATGTGAGAATATATTATATATTAAAGAGTATACAATTTGTTGATGTATTAAAATCACATTTGTAATTAAAAAGTACTAAATTTGTTGTAAATAGAATCACATTTGTTTATATATTAAATGTTTATAGTTAATGTTTATTTATTCTTAACATATTATGTGAGAGTATATTATGTATTAAATAGTATAAAATTTGTTGATATATTAAAGTCATAGACGTAATTAAAAAGATAATGATTGTATAAATGTGCAGTATGAAATATTATCAGTATCGTCGTAGTTGGATGTACGGTAGATTGTATTTAGAAAGACGTGCACTTAAACCCCCATTTTATAAGAGTTAATGAGTTTATCACATAGGCGTTTGCTCAGAAATATTGTTGAAGCGAAGGAGGAGTTAGGTGTCCCTGCCTTAAATGTGAAAGTAGACCAATAATTAGTGACCTGGAGGAAGTAGCACGTCATTTTCATTGAAAATTATTGGGTTTGGACGTATAACGATGAAGAATTGTCGAGTAAAGTACCAGAGACTAGCAACACGCATGCTTCAAGTAGTCGACCGCCTATAGAATATGAGGAAAACTTTAATCTAATCGGTGAGATGGTTGAGGATGCTTTTTGGTGTGAACGTAACATTTGATCAACCTGAAGATTTTGACGGGGAAGAGTTGCCAAATGAGGAAGCGCATACATTTTATTAGTTGTTAAATGAAATGAATACGCCGTTGTGCGAGGGGTCGTCAGACTCAATGTTATCAATGTGTGTGACATTATTGACCGTCAAGTCAAATTGGAATGTTCCTGATCAGTGTTTGGAACATTTTGTAACAATGATGCTGGATTCCACCGCAACGAAAGACAACTTGCCTACAAGTTTTTATGATGCAAAGAAGTGGGTGTCGAAGTTGGGTTTAAAGTAAGAAAGATTGATTGTTGCATTAATGGTTGCATGTTGTTTTATGACAATGAGTTTGGTACTCAAGAAGGATTGTTGGAGGAATGCAAGTTTTGTAAGAGTCCAAGATATCAAGTTCGTAGTAGAGCCATTAACAACAAGCAAAAGTGTGTAGCAGTAAAGTCCATGTTTTATCTTCCGATAATACCAAGGTTAAAAAGAATGTTTGCTTCAATGCACAATGCAAGTCAAATGGCATGGCATCATACAAACCAAACAAGTCCAGGCACTATGCGACATCCATCTGATGGCGAGGCATGGAAGCACTTTGGTCGAACACATCCTGATTTTGCCGCAGAACCTAGAAATGTCAGGCTTGGATTATGCTCTGATGGTTTTGTCCCATATGTTCAAGCGTCAGGAAGTGCGTATTCTTGTTGACCAGTTATTGTAACCCTTGCAACCTCCATCTTGAGATGTGTATGACAAAACCATACATGTTTTTGACGTGCGTCATTCCAGGGTCGTCGAGTCTAAAAGCCAGAATCAATGTGTACTTAGAACCTTTAATTGATGATTTAAGGAGGTTGTGGATTGGAGAATGGACTTATGATATATCCCGTAAACAAAACTTTACTTTGTGAGCTTCCTTGATGTGGATCATTAATGACTTTCTAGCATATAGCATGTTGTCTGGTTGGGGTACGCATGGCAAAATGGGTTGTCCGCATTGCATGGTATACACCAAAGCGTTTACGTTGGATAAAGGGGGAAAAGCTCGTGGTTTGACTGTCACCGCAGATTCCTACCAACAAATCATCCCTATAGAAGAAACAAGACAAATTTTAAAAAAGACGAACGAGTAACAGATTTTCCTCCGCCTCGATTGTCACCAGGTGATATATGGAACCAAGTTTGTGATCTACCAAAATTTACAGATACTGGCAAAGCATGTAGAATTGAAGTATATGGAGTCACACACAATTGGACAAAAATAAGTATATTTTGGGACCTCTCGTATTGGAAAGATAATTTGTTGCGCCATAATCTTGATGTTATGTATATTGAGAAGAATTTTTTTGATAATATATTTAACCCAGTGATGGATGTTAAAGACAAAACAAAATATAATGAGAAGGCTAGACAGGACATGAAAACTTGGTGTAACCGGAAAGAGTTGGAGTTGAAGCCTTAACCAAATGGAAAATTATTAAAACCCAAGGCTTGTTTTAGTTTGACTTCCTAAGAAGCTAAAGCGGTTTGTCAATGGTTAAAAGATTTGAGAATTCCAAATGGGTATTCTTTAAATTTAGCAAGGTGTGCCGATGCTAACACTGGGAAGTTGCATGGTATAAAAAGTCAAGATTGCCACGTTTTTATGGAGAAATTGTTATCAACTGTGTTTGGTTCACTATCCAAACATGTGCTTAATCCACTAACTGAAATTAGTCAATTTTTTAGAGATATTTGTGCGTCAGCTTTAAGAGTGGATGACATTATTAAGTTGGACCGAAACATTCCACTCATTCTCTGTAAGTTGGAGCAAGTATTTCCACTTGATTTTTTTGACTCCATGGAACATCTACCTGTGCATCTTGCATATGAAGCTTATCTTGGTGGACCTATTCAATATAGGTGGATGTATTTGTTTGAATGGTTCATGGGTGATTCAAAGTTATCAGTGGAAAATAAATCTAGAGTTGAAGGATCTATATGTGCACATTACTTGCATCGGGAAACATCACATTTTTGCAGTCATTATTTCAATCACTTGATGTTAACTCTTTAAATCATACAGAATCCTATAAATGTCAATGAGAGAAGTCAATTCACCCTATCAGTCTTCAGGCTTCCAGGTCGTCCCTCTGGAAAGAATGTTGTGCATTGGTTGACTAAAAAATAAATGTAATCCGCACATGTCCATGTCTTGATCAACTGCGTTGAAGTTAAACCATTATCTTGAGTAAGTATACCCCAACTGTTTA